TTCTATAAACCTAAAACAGCTCTAAAAAAGCCTATTTATTAAAAAGAGAAAAGAAATTGCTTAACAAAAACTGGATTCACTAGCTAAATTGGAAAGTTAAAAAAAAAAAAAAGCTAAAAGCTTACTGTGTTTTTTCATATAATTATACACTTCATATCCTTTAATTGCTAAAGGCAGGCAGTATATAATAAGATCCTGGAGAAGAAGAAGAAAAAAAAAGAGCTTGGCCTAACCATAAAGTAGGCCAAGATGTCTCCTTTTAAAGATAACACCCTTAGACGCTCTACCCCTTAATAAGGAAATACCATTTCAAACACTGACTGGGTCACATGGAGCAGTGTGAGGCCCTGGTTTGATTCCTGGTCAATGCACTTGATGTGCGGCCAACGCTCATCTGTTAGTGGAGGTTTCCATGTTGCTGTGATGCTGAACCAGTTTCTGTGGAACTTCCAGACTAAGAAAGACTGGGCAGAAATGTCTGGCAATTTACTTCTGTGGATCACGATGGTCCTATCAGCAACCGATCACGGGGATGGTGCAGGAACTGGACACGTTTCATTGTGCAGGAGCCAAATCAATGACAGCTAACATTTTGTGTTAACCATGGCTGACCCGGTTATCAACACACTTCAGTGTAAGCACTTGGACACTTCACTCGTTAAACTGGAAAACATGGCACTAACAATGTCTTCGCTTTCCCATGCCCCAGCTAAGAATTTAAGGGCTGAACTGTGTGTGAGTGTGTGTGTGCATGTGCGCGCATGCGCACGTGTGTGTGGTGTCAGGGGAGGCATCAGGGGAAGATCCCGATAGTAAGACCATGTGCCGCTATAGAGCCTGACCCTGGTGCTCAGTCCCAGTTTGTCCCAGCCTCACAGGCCACTGTGGGGCTTAACCACAGTTAAAGACTTTTTCCTTGTTGAGCAATTTCGACTGTGATCACAGCAGGTGCTCAGAAAACAGACATCAGTTCTGACTCACTTGGTCCTCAGCTCTTTCTTACAATACTGGAGTCCACATGAAGGCCACCCCAGGGATCTGTTCTCAACAGAAACATCCCTTCTCCCCATTTCATGTTAAAGGGGAAAATGCCCTGCTTTATTCTACATGAATCACCCCCACCCTATTAAATGGGGAAGAAGGGCCCTCATCTGGAAACCAACAGAGAGACAGGACAAATATTCTAAGAGCTAAACAAAGACGGAAGTTAACTTAATAGAAATACCAGAGAACTGAAGTACCTGAAAAGCAGGTGATAGCAATGAGGCCTTACTAGATTCCAGGGATTTCTTTATGGACCTAAGGTGAGCCTGGGTGGATGGGAAGGGGTGGGGGACCTAAGCAGACAGGTGGGAAGAGAAAGGAAAAGGGATATAGACTAAACAAATCAAAAGACCAAACCCACAGCTATCAAATTGATTCACACTCATAGGGACCCTAAATAAGAAAGGCCACAGATATGGTACTTCTCAGAATAAAGATACGTGATACGGCTCCAATCTTTAGGTGTGAAGCAAAGCAAATCAGGAAAACATCCCTACCGATTCCTCACCTCACTTGCTTATCCTCTCTGGAAGGAAAAACAAATCCTCTCTCTCTCTTAAGGTCTAAGCAAACTTGGATCTCTTCCAGTAATAACATAAACTTATAATCTGATACGTTTCCATAAAAGCAGAGAGGCAGTAAGATTTTTAAATTCGGGAATTTAAAAAACCTTTTTCCTCTAGCCACCTGAACAAACCTCCCACCCCACCTTATTTTTCTCCAGCTAATTTTAATTTTAAATTATTTATTTGGCTATTTGTCCTCTTCTTGTTGCCCCCACTCCCCTACCAAGAGAGCAGAAACTTAGCCTCCGAGCTGCTCTCCGAGCTGCCAGGAACCTAGTAAACCAAACCCAAACCTGTTGCTTTCAACTGGATTCCGACTCACGGCCACAGCATGAGTGCACAGTAGGGACAAGTGTTCTCAGGCTGTGATTTTTTTTGGAGGCAGTTTGTCAGTCCTGGTTTCAGAGGTGCCTCTGTGTGGGTTTAAACGGCCACCCTTTCAGTAAGTAGTTGGGTGCTTAATCGTTTGTATCACTGAGGGATGCCTTCTGGCCCCCATACATGCTTAAAAACATCTCCTGAACAAAATTAATGACTCCATGTGTTATATCAACCACACCAAACATAGTACTGCTTTTAAATTGTGCTTTAATTTCTGCAATCAGCTACGATGCAGTGAGATACAAGTATAAACTTTTGCTGTACATCCAGAAAATAAAAAGAACATTTATACAGATTTAGCCCAACAGCTTATTCCCTTGGGGCAGAGGAGAAAGAAAGTTTTGTATTCAATTAAAGCTAGTTTATCTTCAGTGTAAAAACTTGGAGGTATAAACAGACTCAAGATATTATACACAGTCGATCAATGTACATTTCCAAACTTGCACAGTGCAGCATTTTAAACAGTCTAGGGTCTCATTTCAGCTTTCACTGCTAAGCAGAACCCACATCTCAAGCTTGAATACAAATTTCACAATATATAAACCCAATGAGAATTCTGTACACAAATACAAGCTATAGAAATCTGATTTCAAATATAAATACATAAATTGTCACGACCTAACGTGTTATAACAACTTCCTTCTCTATTGTAGTTGTTTTTTAAAAATCATAGAAAAATATTCCAAAGCACATTCAACTGCTAAGACAATGGCCTTGTGCCTTTAAACCATATTTTGTGGTGTGTAAAGCATTACACTGGGTGTTTCTGGAATCCTAAGATTGAAGAGACTACCATATAAATAAAATATCCATGTTATAGCAAAAATAGTTAGGTCCATAGTGTATGTGGGGCGGAGAGGTGGACATTAGTGCTAGTTCAGGAAGGCCCATAGAACATTCGCGAAGGTGGCTAACGGACTAGTTTTAATCCCTAACACTGACCTCACTAGTAAAACGCTTAAGGCAATCAAGACTTGACATGTGTTTGGTCCTTGGAGGCATGAATCCTGCCCTCCCGCCAGCTGTGGCAGACTAGCCCAGTTTCCATGCTAAGGCAGTCAGGAGAAGGGCAAAACAATGTACTGCTTAATACCAGATGATTCCCTGCAAATGTAGCAACTCCTCTGTCAAAATGTCCAAGATTCTTACTTCCCTTGAGTAACTGGAAAAGTTTCCCTAAACATTTAATAGTCAAATCAGGATCTATGTTGGGGAGCAAACACACACAAAAGGCAAACATTCCATTTGAAAACAGTCTAGCATGAGGCATTTTTGTTTGGTTTTACTTTCTCTTCCTCTTGTGGGATTTGCTAGGGTTCTATTAGGAATAAAAAACTGGGTCCTCCTCACACAGTATGCTTTGCTGCGTTACAAAACAGACATGGTTTCATGTAGATAACAGAACCAAGAAGGTTATCAGGCACCGTCAAGCTGCTTCTATGGCTTTTTAAAAAAATCACTGAGGTACTATGGGATGGTCTTCACTTCTGACATAGATGTCTAACTGCTTTCTTCTGAAAGCCACATTCAAAAGTGGTCCTCTCTCACCTGCCTGCATATATGGCAGGCAGTGTGAGGAAACCAGTCACAATGCAAGTGCCTCAGCAGGCGTTTGGGAAAGGCAGAGCAAGTCACTCCCAACACTGACAGGTTCCAAAAGAATGGAAGCTCGGAAGAGATTCCCCTGTTGAACAATACGTTTGATTAGCAGCAAGAAAGAAGCTGGGCCTCTGGCACCCAGCAGGGAGCTGGAGGAGGGTGTGGTCCTGAGCAGGCAGGGAGAGACTGGGAGACTGGGAGCTGTCCGCACACGGGTATGGTGGGGTGGCTGGTAAGCCCACCGCCACCAGACACTCCAAGTCAGGGGCTAGGAAGGGGGAGGGGGTCTGAAGCTAGAATGAGGAACACAGGTGGAATTTCCCCAGCTTCCCTACAGGCCAGTGGATGCAGACAGGAAAAATGGTAAGAATATTTTGTTTAAACAAATGCCACACACCCTAATACCTCTATTTGAATCATTCAAGTCACCATTGAAATATCCTGTAAAGCTGCACGGGCTTCTGACTGAGGTGGGACATAGAGAAACTAACTATTCCCAACGAATAGATACATTTTCTTGGCACAGAAAGCATCTGAAGAAAATATCAAGTTCAAGAACATCTTACAAACAGCCCTTTTTTGTAGTAAACCAGCCACTGCAGGTTTTGCATTAATACTTAGGCATCAGAAAACAGCCACCATCCTGTTATGGGTTAAGCAGTAGTTCCTCTCCATGGATAATACCAGCCATAGGGTTTTAATTGCATAGTCTTACGTGAGTGAAGAAAAACGAGACCAGCGCTTTTCCTGAAGGCCCAGGTTTACTGCAACACATCCCCCACTAGGGAGTAACCCTCCCCGAGATCAAATGCGTTTGCTTTTGGTCCCCATCGTCAGAGTTCCCTTCTTACGTAACTGAAAACACAAGTCACACATCTCCTAGATCTACAAATTCATCTTCTCGTTTGGCCCAGTCTTCTTCATCTTCCAGAGCTTTCCAGCCGCTGGTCGGTAAGACCGGCTTCGAGGAATTGCGCTGTAGCAAAGCGAAAGGGAAGAGAGAGGACATGCGCGCAGAGCTCCTCAGCGGGGAGGGCGCCTCTGCGGGCAGAAGTGCCTGGCGAAGGGGTCTCTCTGCTATTTCCTCTTGCAAGCTCTGCACCTCCTCCATCATTTCCAAAAGTTTGCTCATTGTAGCCACTCTGCCACCACCCAGGATCTGGGCTTCTGGAATCCAACGCAAGTACCTCTGAGCCCAGACTTTGATTTCTGGTCCTTCTATGTGCGGCAGCAGCACGCCGTGGTAGTCTATAGGTTTGCTATGCCAGCTGTCGTAGAACTCGCGAAAGCTGTCTTGCAGTTCATCAGAAGAATTGATGAGCTTGCTAATTCTCTTGCCCAGAAGGTTTTTGATTAAATGGTCTGTTTCTTCCCTGAAAAATCCTCTTTTGGGAGATGATTTTGATTGGGTGAGGGGCAACGAAAGTTGCCGTTGATGCTTGGAGAGAAAACACAAACAACAAAAAAATTTCTGGTTATTAAGAGGGATGACAACAGTTGCTACCACTGCTTAACAGTTTTAACAAGTATCAAGAGACACCAGAATGGCCAATGCTCCAATGCTCCGACATATGGGGGGGCGGGAGGTTGGTGGTGGAGTTTGTTTACTCAGATGATGCAAATGTTGTGTGAACTCTGCAGGTCTAACACATGGGTGGGCCCAGGTGCACTTGGAACCTGAGGCGAGGCTGCGTTGGCATAAAGGCTCCCGACTTGACTTCATTCCTTGTAATGCTGTGGTTGGCAGTTACCAATGAGTCAGCTGTACTCTGAGTACAACAGCTACCTAGGGTAAGACTGTGACCTTTCAGAAGCAGATCACCAGGTCTGTCCTCCGAGATGCCACTGGGCGGGTATTCCAACTGCCCACTTTTCAGCTAGTAGTTGAGTGCTTAACTGTTTGTGACACCAGGGACTCTTCCCTGTAACACCAAAAACCACCACAAATCCACTGTCATCTCATCAGTTCTGAGTCACAGTGACCCCACATGGCAGAGGAGAACCGTCCTCATTGGATTTCCAGAGCTGTAAATCTTTACGGAATCAAGACTGTCACATCGTCCTCCCTCGGATCAAATGGTGGGTTCAAACCACCCACCTTCTGGTTAGCAGTCTAATGCTTAACCACTGTGCCACCAGGTTTCTTTGTCCCCTGTAAGAGCGGTATAGAAACACACAAAGTACTTTTGAAAAACAAGTTTAACTTAAGACAGGTTGAAGGTTTAGGGGAATCTGGGGGGTGACACCGAAATCGTTTTTGGAAAGAAGTAAATTCTTTCTTCTTTGAAGAATTTTAGGGCTGGTGGTTTCCACCTGTTCTGAGCCCTGCAGGGGAAGCAGTATTGACTCCCTGAAGATCTAATCATTTTAATGAAATAACTTGGCAAATCATCAAGCACCCAGTGGGAGTTCAAGTCTAAGATATAAAGATGCTTTCGGGCAAGAGAGCAGAAGCATGTGGGAGCAAAAGAAACAAGAGGAAGCAGCTACTTTGGCCAGAAGCCCTTAATTGACAAGCCAGCATGAAGCGGGAAATGAGAGAGCACAAACACTGTTCCCCTGAGGACTTTTGTCTGCTCCAGTGCAAGGCACTCTCGTTTGGGCTGCCCTGAAATGCGCTGTCAAGTCGAGTAAAGTGGCCAGAGGTTCAGAGTGTTCCTTGATGCCCAAAGGAGAAAGTAAAAACTGTGAAAACAAGTTGCTTCTCTCCAACTCTTTTGCTTCAGAGATGTGCATTCAAGCTAAGAGGAGATAAGAATTTTTATAGGCTAGTCCCATCACTCTGGCATATATATTTCTGCCAGTATTTCTTTCTTTTGAAAGAAATATTCTTTATTATAAAGGAGATATTCCCTTATTATAGAACTCGGCATCACAAAGTAAAAGGAAGGAAGCAGAACTGTCCACAAGACCGTGACTCAGAGATTACCACGACTTCTGACTCTCGCCTGGGACAGGAGAGACAAAGGCCAGGGGCCAGGAGTACGCATCTCTTCTCCACATTGATGAAGTTGAAGGAGGCTGGGCACAGAGTACAGGGAATACAGATGAAAACTACCCACTAGTGACTCACTGCGCACTGCTGTCAAGTTAATTCAGACTCACAGCGACTCCACAGAACAGAGTCCAACTGCTCCAATGGGTTTCTGAGGGTAAAAATCTTTACAGAAGCAGCCCGCCTCATCTTTCTCCTGTGGAGGGGCTGGTGGGTTTGAACTATCAACTGCTATTAACTTAGCAGTCCAAAGCTTAATCCACTGTGCCACCAGAGTGCTTACAAATTCTCAAACCCCCCTACTCACCCCCCCCAAGTAGTCACTATTATTGCCCATTTTTACAAAGGAGGAGCCTGAGGCTCAAAAGTCAAAGGCATAAGCCCCCAAGTGTCAAAGATGGTTTCAAACAGTCTGGCTCCAGTCCCATTCTTTTATTCTTGGAAGGAATTCCTTCATGGATGGGATGTTCCATATGAGTCATGGTGGATGTAGTACCCAAAGCCTCATCAAGCCATAGGCTGCAGCTAAGACCACCCCTGAGCAGAATCAACAAAGCACCATTCCATGCTGTTCATCCACAGCTCTTGCAGAGTCTCTACAGGACTTCCGCAAGGTCATCAGTCCACTCACACAGGGTGCCCAAAACTGACGTCCGCTTTGTCTTACCCAAATGCTTCAAAGCTCTTTGTTGGCCCAGCCCCATTCTGCTCTACTGAGTGCAACCTGACATTCCAACATCTCCCACATACAGGGATAAAACACACTCAGGAAAACTGAACTCCAGTCTTAGAAGGTGCTTAGAGCCTCAGCCTCGGAAGCCCAGGGCCTCAACTGTGGAGCAGTTCTGTGAGATGTGTGCATGCAGCCACCAGGGGGCACAACACGCTGAGGGAAAACAGCCCTGGTCAACCCATCAGGAACTCAGGAAATTTTGGTCAAGCCACCCCAGGTCTGAGGGCAAAGTGGCAGTTCTGACTTGTCCAGCAGCTCACATCTTCTGTGTGCTAACTTTGGCTCATCTGCTTTAGGATTAAAGTAACTCCCACCCCAAAGACAGCCAGGCTCCCTGGAACTCCGCAAGTACAGACAGAAGCAAGGCAAGGTGGGGAAGGTAGCAGCGATACACGCCGACTTAGAACTTGCCATGCTGCTCATGGGAGTCTTTGTGGGGCCTGTGGGGAAAAAACTCCGGGCCAGGAGACGGAGCAAGGAAATACCATAAAATCATTTATCATGCAGGGAACTTTAGAGTTTTAATAATCGGTAAAATCAGGAAGTATCTGAAGGAAACCCTAAATGATTCTCTGATGCAGGCCAGCAAACTACAGCCGGTGGGTCAAATCTGGCTAGCTGTCTGTTTCTGTAAATAGCGATTTACCAGCACCCAGCCATGCCCACTGATTCACGTATTGTCTGTCACTGCTTCTGTGCAACAACAGTCGAGGGAAGCAGTTGTGACCAACACCCTCTGGCCCTTTACTGAGCCCGCCACCTCTGGTCTGAATCTAATTAAGAGTCAGGCTGTTTAATAATGTGTATCTACTAAGTAAAACCATACAATCAGGGCTCCTTCTAGTCTAGGCAGCAGACACATATGACGACTGGGGGAGCAGCATCCTCAGTGACACGAAGAAGTGGCCGTATCTCATGTGGGCAAAGGCTGATTCGCTGAGAGCAGAAGAGTTTAATGAACCCTGGTGACCTGCCAGGCACACACCTCAGGCCTGCAGACTGTTCCAAGGGGCAGAACGAATGCTGACAGACCAAACCCATCGGTAACACTGGTCCATACAAATACGGCGAGAGAAGGGGGTGGGGGTGGGGGGCTTTATTCATAAGGACAGCTTACTTTGAGACGCATTCCTTTCCGCTGGCCTTTGTCCACTTTGGGCTTTTCCACATAGAGAGGGTTTCTGAGCAACGTCTGGGCTTTGGGTTCAAACTGTACAGACCAGTCCCACACGGTGAGCAGATTCAAAGGCTTGCTTTGTGCATCCTGGCTTGCCCTACCCTGCCAAAACAAGCATAGGTCACCACGGCTCCCAAGGCCAGGCGGGGGACGGCAAACACATCATTCTGGAAGCAGGTACAGGGAAGGGTGGCCCTGCTCTGCCCTAAGACCACACAGTCAGAGTCCTTCATTTCAGTGGTCAGCAGTTGTTCACTCAAGTTTGTAGGTGACGGTGGCCAAGGGAGCAGGAACAGAAGGAGGACTTACTCTTTTCTGGCTTACTACAGGTTGGAAACTGTGCTGGGCACTTTCATAAGAACCTCATGAGGTGGGCGCCATTTTTCCAATTTTATACTTGAGGAAACTGAGGCTCAGAAGGCTTAAATGAATTGTCTGACTTCAGAAAGTCAGCGAGTGGTAGGGCTGGGACCCGATGATGTCGCTGTGGGGTTTGGTACAATCCCTCAGCAAACCCCAAGGGCACTGGGACATGCAGACAGGGAATCCTCTGGAGCTCAGGCCCCACAGAGATGGCAACGGCTTCAAAGGGAAAGTGAAGGTTTGGTTTCCTGCTCTACACTCTCCCGTTCTTCACAGATGAACGGCAGGCTTCGGGCACGTGCACACAAGACATCTGGTCTCAAATGTCTTTAAAAGGACCACTTATAATGCTGTTTCAGTCCCTGGCTCCCCTGCACACTTCCAGCTCCAGGACTTAACTAGCTGTGTGAACTCAGGCAAGTTACTTCTCCACTCTGTGCCTGAGTTTCCTTGGATAATAAGGTAATACATTCCCCATTGGAGCAGTGTAGATGAACTACTTTTCCCAGGAAAGCCATCCAAACAGTGGCTGGGACCCAGTCAGGGTCGTAAAGATATCATTTTTATCATCCATGTTACTATATCTGACTTGTGAGACACACCTTTATTGGCCCACGGATTCCTGAGAGAAATCCTTACCATGGTAGTATCTTTCTGATGAGGTGAGTTGAAGAAGAAGGTGCTAAAAATAGGTATGTACAGGCTGTCGGACAGGACAGTCAGGTAAGTCTCTGTGAATTCAAAGGCTGGGGGATACTGGTGCACCAGCTGCCACACACAGTCTAGGAAGAGCAGGAACACAGGGACCTACAGAGTGACAAGAGCACATTACTCCGTAGGAGCAGACCCCAATTCAAGACATCTCAAAGACTAAGGGGTACCACAGGGAGTGTCACTAGGCTTAGTGTCACCCCCCACCCCCCCCTCAGCAACTCATGGCTTCACAACACAGTCTCCATCCCAGCCTGCCCAAATCACACCGTTCAAAACCCTTAGTAACTTTAAGAATATGTGACCAATGTACTTGTCAATTGCTTCAATGTAGTACTGCTTGGTTATAGGAATTCAAACACCAAACTTGTTCTGTGAAATCTTCCTACATTGAATTACAGCATTATTCACTAAACCATTATTAGTCACTGAGCAGAAGCCTTTTCTGATTTTTCTCCTTCTTTTACTTCAATTACTGCTTCATTGTCAAAAAGTTATTGACACAGATTCACACATACAAGTGACTACAATGTTGTAGTCAACGCATCAGAAAACTTGATGAAATTAAAAACACTGGCTGCAATAAAAATGTCAGTGTGAGTGTGGAGCCCCTGAGGGTGACACCAGGTGATTTGAAGCGTTACTATAACCGGATAAGAATGACCACTAGGACCTCAGTGCACTAGAAGGCTCCAAAGGTAAATGAGCATAAAGTTCATTGAGACTTAAGTTGAGCTTATGCAAAGGGTTTTCATTGTTAAAACTAACTGTAGGGTTATTTATTTATTGTAGGGTTATTTTTATAAGAAAGAATAAATATCTGCTGAAACACTGCACAAAAACATTACAGACAGTCTTTTAGGCATCTAGGCAGACAAAGCGTCAGCCTCCCTGACAGACCTGGGGGACGGGCCTCAGTCCCCGCATGCCCCTAGTGATGTCACTGGGGCGGCATCTCAGTGGCTGGGAAGAACCACATCTGAGCCCCACAGCTACTGGGACCCACAGTATCATGCTGGCCAGTCAACAGTCAGGGATTCAAAGCTCCACGCCATTCCACGTCACAAATCTGCTCACCTGAAATGATGTGCTTATGGGCTGATTTCATGAACTGGGTGGACAGACATCTCAGAGAGGAAGCAGATAAAGATCTCATTATGGAAGAGCATTAACAGAGGGGCCCTTGCAATCAATTTTCATGGCAGCAACACAAGCTTTGTGCCCCAATTAAGCAAAACGTTAGCCTCAAAAAAAAATAAATAAAATAAAAAATAACCACACACAAAAAACCACAACTGCATTCTTCTTAGTATACCTGCATTATCATCAAATGATTGATGCTCAATTAGGATTGCTATTTTAAATTTTGTCAATAGAAACCTGTGTGTGTGATTCCACGCCAAAAACTGTCCAAACAGTCGTAATCAGGAGCCTCTCCTGAAGGTTGTGCTAGAGCAGGAAGACCACCCCACTCCACAACAGGGCCCAGAAAAGAAGAGGCTGGAAAAAGCAGAAGCAGCAAAAAAGAGCATCTAACATTTTTTTTTCAAGTTGTGTTTGGCCTAAGGGCAGAGGAACTCGCTTAGGAGTGAGCTGGCTCCTCAGGCACTACACTGTCAAAGTGCCCACCTACTCCTGGATTCACAGGGAACCTCGCAGGAGGGAAAGATGGTGAGCTTACAGCGTCTCCTATGGAGGGAAGGAAGGTGAGGACTGGCCCAAGGTCTGGCACACAGCTCATGAGAGCAAGGAGTTGGGAATACTGCTCTTAAATCAATGTCCAGTGCCGTTACAATGACATCATTAAATTAAAGCATTCATCATGTTGAAGTTGAGACACTTAGAAGAAATGTTCACATAGCAAATTGTTATTTCACACCTCATCTGATGCTCAACACATCATTAAATTCCTGGTGTGGCGCTGTGGGTTAATGCACTGGACTGCAAGGTTGGTTTGAACTGCAAGGTCAGCAGTTCAAAGTCACCAGCCGCTCCTCGGAAACCCTATCTATGGTCACTTTGGGTCGGAACCAACTTGACAGTACTTACCAACAACAACAACATCATTAGACAGTACGGTCAGGGAAATGGGCTCAGAAAGTCTGAGTGGTCCTGAATGACATTATGCTGAGTGAAATTAAGTCAACCACAAAAGGATAAATGTTGTATAAGATCACTGTTGTAAAATTTAAGAAAAGTTTTTTTTTTGTTTTTGATAAAAGATACATTCTGTGATGGTTATAGAGATAGAGGGAAAATTATTCACAGGCTAGAGGGTAGACATATGTTAACATGGGTAGTGGGGCAGGCAATATACAAGAGGGACGTTGGCAGAGAAAAGATGAAGGGAGACAGAGGGAAATTAAAGCTAGAGTGAATAGGATAAATACTGTTAACTGTTGTTGGTACATGGAAGGGATTGCAATCATTAATGAAACCAAGTACACAATTCACTGAATGTAAAACTGATCACCTGTCTATAAATCATCATTCAAGTCACAATAAAAGATTAAAAAGAAAGTGTGACAGAG